CGAGCGTTGCCAGATTTTCATCCTCCCGAATGATGTGCTGTTCTTTATGTTTTTAGTACTGTATATTGTTTTGTTTTCTTTCATCGAATTCTTGTTGAATCCTTTTTATATGCATTCCTCAATTATTCTATTGTTAAATTCGGTTCGTGTATATTTCTTCTTCTTGCTTAACGTATTTCTAGTGAACAGATAACACCGTTCACTGGCGAATACGCGAAGGTGTTAGGTACTGGCGCTACCTATGGCCACTACCATTCTTTTTATTAGCTTAACACTATTGATCATGAAGGATTCGTAGGCAGGAGGAATATATGGAAACCGTGATAAAAGTCTTTCAGTTAGTTGGTTTTCTTGTTTTGTATTGTTTCTAGTCTTCTTTGCAAAGTGATAGAAATACAAGGTTATAAGTCACCAGAGACCAGCAGTCATGGGAACGCTCTTCAAATATTAGTCACTCCCGTCTTCCATTTCTAGTACTTTAGATAGAATCGAGATATCGTAAGAGAACACTGGATACTACTACCTAATAATGACAAAATCATAATAATTATGTTCTAAAAAAGACTATGGTCACTAATACAAATACATCAGGCGACATGATGAACGCCTGCACCCTTTCATTATACCCCTAGACTTGAAATCCAAAGTAATGAGCTTTCTGTAAAAGTTTTCTCATATACAAATTTGAGAAAATTCCTTCTCTAGAATCTAGTTGATATTACGCTGTTTTTCATGAAATTATAGAAAACTGCGGTGAAATTTCAATCATTGAGCTTAAAAATACCCCTCACTTAGTAGAGGGTCGAGCAAGTCCAAGCGACGGACATTATTTGTTGCTAAATGGTCCGATAATAATTTTATTTGTCGATTAATAAAAATGTGAGTTACAAATATATATGAAAAATATAAAAGATAAATCTCTTCGTAGTTATTTACTAATTTTATTTGAATATACTGTTTATTTTGAAACGCAGGTCTGGTGTACCATCAGCTTTGAGGGGTCTTGAACCCGTAGGAAAACGCGAGATATCGAAAACTGGAGGAGCATAAGAGGGCCGCGGTTCGCAAGGAGTCGGTGCAAAACCCGGACCATATACTGAAGTTGAACCTGCAAAAAATACGAAATTAAGATTCGAACGTTTAATAAGTTAGTTTGAGAATATAAGAAAAGATCGATGGTGCTTTCCACACGTGCAACAAACAAACTCGACATACAATTTGAATTGCAACAGCTTGTAACAGTCTGCGTTGAGCTGATGGCTTTTATTATTTAGTTCTGATTGTGGATTGTATACACATGATGATACATAATCCATCTGCCAATATTGAATACGTAACACTTTCTCTTTCTCTCTGGTATTACTGTATATCGTTCATTAACTGATCGTTTACTTTGACAGTACCAAGATATCAGTGCTCTCACATCACTGTCATTACTATTTTTCATCAATTATTTTCTTTCCTCTACTTCCTTTCATTCTCTCTCTCTCTCTCTCTCTCTCATTCTTGTGGCATATCTAAACGAGTGCTTTCTGTGTAAACTATGCGATTGTATGATATGAAGGTACAGAATAAAGTGTTAGTCCATCTTCAGTAATATCCCTTCTATCAGAAAATTGTCACACAGCTTACATATCTTTCTTAGCTCATAACACTTACTGTCTCTAATATGCATAGTTTCCATCATTCGACGTGTTTTTTCTCTTTCAAGTTCTAATTGATGTTCCTTTCGTTCGAGTTGTAATTGATGTTCCTTCTGTTGGAGCTTTAACCGATCCTTCGCTTTCTCGTCCTCGAACTTCTTTTGTAACTCAACTATTTGATTTTTTAAACCTGATAGTTCAGTTAGTAATAAAGTAATATCTTGCTCCTTTTTGTGCATTTTTGCTGGAACAAGTTTTATTGCGGCCAATAATTCAGATTGAATTGCTTTTTTCTCATTCGATGAAGATGCACCGATTTTAGGAACCACGCATAAATGACGAACAGTAAGGTTTAAAAGTTTGTTTAACTTTTCTTTTGCCGACGATTTATAATCATTTACTTTATCTTTATCTAGTTGGTTTATAACAAAAATTATTGACTTTTCATCAAATCGATAAGCTTTATTGATAGCATTAAATGCAACAATATCTTCATTACCAATTCGACCACCATTGCCAACTCCCAGGACAAAGACTATGACTGCAGTTGGATGTCCGATAAATGCAGCATCGATTTCACGTATGTTAAGATTAATACGATCCTGATCAGCTTCAATCAAACCCGGAATATTATAGACAGCATATTGTTTATCGCCTATTCTGGCTGCTCTATATTCTGTTGTTAGCGTACAGGCGTTCATTCTGGTTTCATGTTTAAAAGCTTCTTCACCAAGAATTACATTCGCAAGAAAACTTTTACCTGCGCCACTATTTCCTAAGATAATAATACCAGTGGTAGCCATAGCTTCGTGTACTTTGTGGAACGTATCGTCGTGATAGGCCCCTTTTAACAGTAATCTGAAAAAAATGGAAGTAGAGTATTTTACAATGTTTGTTTCATGATGATTAACTATGAAATGTGAACAGTTCACTTTTATATTGTGAGAGAGAAAGGAAAATATTGTTATCGTTAGTCATGTACATTATCGAATTGTCGTCAATACGAAATGTAAACTTGGAATAAATACTTAGCAGTTAGGACTGGAATCGCTCAAAATTCGTTTGTTTTCTATCCCTGATTCTCTAGAACTTACAATCAAGAATTAGTTTTTTAAAGAAGTTTCTGTGCTCCGATTGTTATAAATCCATCCAAATACCATTTCGTGCCAAGTCGAACCAAAAACAGCAATTAATTCTTGTCAACAATACTTGCCGAGCAGATTCAACCGTTTCAGATCAAAATTCAACCGATTCAGACCGATTCCCAGAAGTGTGATTCCTGAAAATTGGCATGCGTTCCTTTCGGGTAATACAATCTCGAATCCTTCCATTAGTAGAAATATAACCTAACAGTAGAAACAAATATTAAGAAAGCACCTGTATTCAAAGCGAAGCATGATCGATTCCTGATGTGAATGCGACATTCTACTATGCATGCACTTTATATTCTCTTTTTCGATGGAAAAAAACCCATGAGTGGAAGAAGAGAGCAATTGCGTTCGAACAGAACAATTGCGTTCGAACAGAATTGGAGAGAACACCAGAATTGGCTTCTTGATTACATGAGTCACGTTTAAGTACAATTCTTTTTCTTTACAGTTGGTATTTTTCTTGGTGTAATAAGTGCAATTTTTTTGTACAAAGCAGAGAGGTGGAGAAGGGAATTGGAATTGGCGACCACGGTGAGGGTGGGCGGGTGAAATGGGCGGTAAAATGTGGCATTATATCTACAAGGTTGACGGCTAGCAATTGAGGGTGAGGGTGTGCATATAAGAGGATTCCAAGCTACTTACGACAATCGTTTCGTCCTTGTTCAAGGAAGTCGTCAGGAAATTTTGGAATGGTAAGTAACTGCACTGAATTCAATCCCAAATAACTAGAAAGGGTGTGGGTGAGGGCGTGCGGGTGCCTGGGTGTGACTGTGGCTGTGGATGTGGATGCGGGCGTGGGTGTATTCACCAATATATGGTAATCTACAATCACATCAACACCTTCACCCCCACCCTGACCCAGACCCACGCCCACACCCACACCCTCGAACTCTGACTGGCTACCAGATCAATCAAAACGGTGCTGTTTATGAGTCGAAAATTTCGTAAAAATGAGGCATTTACAGAAATATACGGTTTCAATACGTTCCGTTTTCGGTCCGTATTGAACTGCATTATCTGACCCAGAAATTCGGATCTTATTTTATCCGTATGGTCAACAGTCTGCATTTGGCAGTTTTTCATAACGTTACGGGTAGAATGCTGTCAAGTGTGGCCGTGGGTGTGTGTATTTGTACCAGAGACCGAAACGGGGCGGGGAATCGGGGATGGATCGGGGAGAGAATTTTGGTGGAATGGCGGGGCGGGGCGGGGTCGGGGAGACAAAAAATAACTTAGGTCGGGGCAGAGTAGAATGAGGTAGATTCTCCGAAAATTTCCTGGTTCTTCAGTTTCACGTTCAAAGCTCGTGTATGCATGATACAACTGTTGTAATAAATCGTCCAAATTTGTTCTGATAGATGTCATTAATATCTACAAGATGAATTATGTAAA